AAAAAAAAAAAAAGGTTTATACATGGTCTAGGCAAGACTCAGGGATTGGAGTCTAAAGGTTACTGAATCCCTCTGCACCCACCATGCTGAGTCTCTGGAAGGGTCCCCTTCCTTGCTTTTCCAATAGGACATTCTCCTTTCAGAATGCCTCCCAAGGTCTAGAGGACCAATTAACCTTTCCCCCAGAATGTGGAGACTCCACTACATCTTCCAGCCCATGGCCTGTGGCCAGGAGGATAGCCTGTGCTCGCCAAGTGTCATACAGCCTCTTGCGTTTCAGGCAACAGTCACAACTGAATCCCTGACCTTTATTGTGGCCTTGGGCCTGTCACACATTAAACATAACTAAAATACAGGCTCACTTCCCACGTCACACTAGCCATATCTCGAGCACTCAGCAGGTATACATGGCAAGTGGCTGACACATGGACAGCACAGGTAGAATCCATCACCACCAACCCAGAAGGCTGTGTCACTGACCTGGTCCAGACTCCCAGGTGTTTTGGCCACTGCACCAAAGGATTGGCCTGGGTAAGCAAGGACTGGGGCATGGAGGAAAGGGACAGGTAGGGAAAGATTAAAATCTTCTCTGTCCCTGCAGGTCCTGACCGTGTACCACAAGTCCTTGGAATCTTGGGAAGACACCTGCAACCTGTTCACACTGAACGTGACTCTCCATGCCCAGAAAGGTGAGCCTGGGCCCAGGGATTCCCGACTCCTTTTTGATTATTTTATATATTTTATTATTTATTTACTACACACTGTGTACTTTGTTATACTTTTATTTCAACTATTACTAAGGAATGATATTAATGCTCTTTTCAGTCATCCAACAGATACTTATTGAGAATTTACTACATGCCGTGTTTCTTGGCCCTGGGGACCTAAGCATAAACAAGAAAACTACCCCATCTCCTGGAGCCCAAATTTTAAGAAAATACCACCACAATATATTACACTGCTACTACTGCTACTTATTTATAACAAATAAATCAATATTATAGAAATAACTATAGGAATAAAATTGGAAAAGATTTCTACTTGACTCAGAGGAGATTCAAAGGAAGCTCTCTGAGGAGGTGAAACTTGAGATGAGAGAAATGAGAATGTCAGCCATGAAGCAGCTAAGGGAAGAGCCTCCCATGTAGGCAGGACACGTGCAAAGGCCCTGACGCAAGAATGAGGAACGACTGGGAGGCCAAGGTGACTGCAGAGGAGCACGAGGTAGAGTTTTAGGAGAATGAACTCCAGAGGCAGCAGAGGCAGAGGGTGCAGGCACTGGAACCCTCTGTGAGGCCTTTGGTTTTTGCTCAGCGTGAAGCAGAGACCAGAATGTTCTGAGTGGTCTGACTGAGCTCAGATTACAGATTCCCTGTGGTGGTTGGTCTGAGGGAAACAGACTAGGGGTAAAGGCAGGAGGTAGGTGGGAGATGAGGAAGGAGGGGATTGCACTCGTCCAGTCAAAGTTACTGGGAGGACAGGGTGGGGCTGTTAGAGGTGGTCAGAAATAGAGGGACTCTACAATTCCCAGTCTGAGATACCCAGTAGGTGACAGGATCCTGCTGTTGGGAGGTAGTAGGGGAAAACTCCACCAGTCCCACTTTTAGGCACTAAAAGTGACCAAGACTTTGGTTTGGGCCCTATTTTTCTTTTTTTCTTTTTTTTTTTTTTTAATTTTTTTTTTATTAAA